TTTAAGTACAATATCCATTTACAATAAAAACTTATGCCACAACCGCCATTTACAAACCACAAAGCAAAATATGCACCCTGAACTACCAAACTGCAAACCACCGATATCACAGAAAGATCAGTAGCCTGGGTAAGCACTACACCAAAAATGGGACACTTCCAAACTCTTCCTCAGCTCCAAAACTAATCTCTATGCCCTCTAGATGGCGACCACTCTGACTCACTCTCTTCGGAATCCTCATTCGAATCTTCATCAGGCACATGCTCATCCGATGACTCCGAATCGGCCTCAATCTCGATCGGATATTCTACAACATCATGATCAGTGTGCATAACAATCCCAAAACGCTGCGGCGGCGGCGACGGAAGGTTCATGGCTTGGGCGGGTGCTCTGAAATGGTTTGGTTGATACAACCATGAGACACTTCTCAATAAGTACACAACCTAAACCTTACCTAGGCTACCACGTATTCCAGACAAGTCCAGACACCGAATCAAGCAACACACAAACAACGTCCACACAATCGTACTGACCTGGTTTTCAATACACGCAACCTGCACGTTAGTCTTACATTCACATTTACAAATCGCATGCACTTTCCCACCCAATCTCATGCTCGAAGGCACATGTCAAACACACCACATTTCCGAACTCCACAATTCACATTCGTTCACGCACCACCACATCATTTTCATTTAACTTGCCACATCGCACCATCTCGTGCTCAATCACTTTCCTCAGCCTGCGTAAACACGCATCAGGCCTACATGATCGCGACCTGAGCATAACACGCCTCGGTCCGATCCCATTCTCACTTTCTTTTCTTAGCCCACATAAACACGCATCAGGCCTACATGATCGCGACCCGAGCATAACACGCCTTGGTCCGATCCCATTCTCACTTTCTTTCCTCAGCCCGCGTAAACACGCATCAGGCCTACATGATCGCAACCCGAGCATAACACGCCTCGGTCCGATCCCACAGTCGTATCACGACCCGCGTAAACACGCCTCAGGCCGGTTCAATTCCCCGCGTAAACACGCCTCAGGGATTTAGTGATCACACGAACATACCAACACACCGTATTTTATCTGTACCCCGCGTAAACACGCCTCAGGGCTTTTTAGTGATCACACGCACATCACACGCCTCAAATCTCACACGTTCACATACTCGAACATTAATTAAATGCACCCAATTCAACCATTTCAATTCAGCCCACATACAAACACACACATCAAGCATCAATTCCAGTCACGAGGGCAGCAACTATTCAACCTTGACACCCCCACCATTCCGCTCATAAAAATGAACATCCATAGAATCAGGGTAAATCTTGGCAGTTTACACAGTGACCGAAATCCCATCAAAATAAATAATAAATGAACTCCAAAAATTCTAAATTTTGGATATATCATAAAAAAATATCTTGATAAACATTTCTTATGAAGAACACGAAATCCGGTTCAACCTGCAACCAAGCCTTTTTGTCCCTCGAAATCAGACCAAAATCAGTTCGCTCTAACAGACTGTTTTGTCCTCAAAATACATTTCTTTCAACACCAAAATCACCTTGAAAAGATTTGAAATTTTTATATGTCATAGAAAAGAAAGTTTCCAACAACTTTTGTGAAGGAAATTTATTGAAAATAGATCTGGAAAATTTTATAAAAATTCGGTAAGACAAGAAGGTCGGGATGAACAGTGTCTCGGGCAGTTTTAAGACGGTCTGAAAATGGGTTTTCGTGCAGTTCAAATGGCCTCCAAAAATTCCAAATTTAAAATATATTATACTTCAAGATGTTGGGAGAAACTTTCATGAAGAAAACTTCCTCAAATTTGGCCCACAAAATTCTCCATAAAAATAGTAAATCAGATGGGTACAGTAGTCACGAATCCGAGTTTTGAAGTAAACAACCAAGATTCAAGTTCTAGCTCACTCCCATGGATCTCCAACCCACAAAACTCGTTCCTAAATGTCTAATCCAACACGCAACAGCCACTAACAGCCATGATCAGCCACCAACAACCACGATCAACACCCTAATCAACCCCTAAACTACCATAAACCGCGTCTAAACGAGTCCGATAATACCCGATGTCCTAGGCAAGGGTTAGATTGCGACTTACTTGGACTCTAGGCTAGCTCGGCTAGAGTGAAATGGAGTGGCGGTCGGCGGCCTCACGGCGGCGATCGGCGACGGCGAGCGGTTCGGCGACGGCGGACGGCGATCGGGCGGACGGTGGCGCGGCGGCGACGTGGCCAAGAGGGAGAGAGGGTGATCGGTGAGGGGGAGAGGGGAGAGAGAGAGTTTGCCGTGAGGGAGGGGAGAGAAATGAGAGGTGAGAGAGAGAAAATGGGTTTAAATAATGCACCCAATAATTGAATTCCCTTTATGGCCAAAATGACCATCTTGCCCTTCTCTCTACTTTTCAATCAACGGCCGAGATTCGTTCTTATCCTAAGATCGACGGCCGAGATCAAATCTTTTCCAAAAATATCCAAGGGCAATTTGGAAATTTCACAAAATTCCAAGGGCAAAATTGTTCATTTCTGAAGTTAGGGCAAAATGACCAAAATGCCATTCTCCTTTAACACTTGTCCTTAATAAACTCTTAAGGGTAAAACGGTCATTTTCCATCCTTCGCAGAAATTTAATTTTTCTAAAGGATCCAGGAAAATCCAAGACTGAACATGCTAATAACAACGTCGTCCAAATGTCCTGTCGTGACTTCCTAAATTTTCAATGCCCAAATTGATCTCTAATTTAATAACTGAATTTTGAATAACGTAACTTGAGCGTGTCTCGGACTAACGGGCGGCTTTTGGAGAAATTCGCATATTCGACCCGTGACTGATACTAAATCAAGTCAGGTGCAAGTTCGTTCGAATCGTGACGACCTCGCGAGGATCGATCGCTAGTTCCGATGGGCGCGATCGTTCGGTATAGGTTCTGGATCGTTCATCAACTCACCTCGTGGTCAAATGGAATCACCCGTGATCCACTCGTATGACAATGACGAACCGGCCCATAACTATCCTAAGATCGGCCTACATTGGCTCAAAATGTCACATCGACGATTCTATGGTCGAAAGTCAGTTCACAACCGAATTTCTTTAGTCGCAAGAATTTAAATCCCTAATTAGCCCTTCCCTAATGGTTAGTATACCAGGAATAGCCAGTTCCGAGCGAGACCTAGCTACAAGTACGTTCATAAAACCACTCATTTCATAAATCCCAAATGGGCAATTTCGGAATGTCACAACCGCACTCATAAACAGAGTAATCAGAGAGCTCCGGCAACAGATTCGCGCACCTGGGACACCGAACCAGCCGAACTTTCTCCGCGTTCTCCATTCAAAGACAAACCTCTGAGAACCAGAGCGACAAGTCCAAGCAGAATATAAAAAGCTTCTTTTATTATATGGGAGAAAATCAGGGGGACAGAAGGTCATTGAGCTGGATTCCTGAGGTCACTGGGTGGTCTCTAATGCGATCTTTTTATATGGGACAAAAATACAAAGCTTCCCCTCTAGATTTTCACCTTAAATCCTTCCGGCAGTCTTCAGAGCGGCGGTCGAGCAGCGGTCTTCATGAAAGTTTTCGTGTTTCCGCAAGGCCTCATTCACTTCCAACTGAACATTGGGCAAGCTAATGCCCTGGCCTTTGCTTTCCTGAGCAGCCAGAACCCGGGACTCATAACAATTGCGAATTCAGTCTTTGGGTCGAAGCCGCCGATCAATGTCGACGTCCTCACAAAGGCCTTCCAAGTGGACAGCAAACTGATCAACTATCTCCAGGCACAGAACTGGTTTGACAACCATCAGGAATAATGTGTTGGTTCATTACATCACAAGGAAAAATTCTTTCGAATAACATACTGACTTTTGGATACTAGTACAATTGCTTGTCACCTCTCTCTCTCTCTCTCTCTCTCTCTCTCTCTCTCTCTCTCTCTGAATGTGTGCGTGGCTCTACATTGTTTATTGAGATGAAACTGTATACCATATAGTGAATCTTACATGAACTATGAGCAGAGAATTTGCATTTTGCATCTCATCCGCAAAACGACATGAGTAGTAATTCTTTTTTCTTGAAAATTAGTGCGCTCTCCGTTTTGCCCTTCTCTATTGACAATATTACTAATTAGTAATTCCGTGATTAATTAAACTTAATTAAATCAGTAATTAGTATCATTTTGGTTCCGAGTCTAAACATCCAATTCGTAGGCCCTCATTTTCCTTTACAAAAGTTAACAGCAAATAGTAGGAAAAGAGAGAGAAATTCGTCGTCTTCGTCCTCATTTACCCTTCTTTGTCGACAATATGTTCAATGGGGATGATGTGCATCTATCACCCCTATGGCCATTCAAGGAATTGATTTCCTTTATTTGGTGTCGTCTCATTCAGAACATATGAAGAGCTTCAAGGATTGTTGTGCATGCAATAAATAAAAGCGTGAGATAATGCTTAAGAGGGCATATGTTGCCATATCGGAAAGGAAAGATACCGAAATATAAACAAAAATTTCTTTGGTGGTTGTTTTTATTTACGCTTTCCTTTTATTTTTCTACTGTCTTTAATTTTGATTAGTGACTCCAGACGTCCTTGATGGCTTGGCGCATGCCACCATGTCATTTAGTAAGAAACTTTTAGTACACGGAGAGAGTATTATAGTTCCGAAAATTGCTCACCCCCCGCCTATCCATAAGATTTGAATGTGTTACGGTTATTAATGTAAAACCATCGGAATCACCTCAGTGGCATAATAGTGACAAATCTAGACAAAATGGAAAGAGATTGCACGTTAATTGCTCGCAGCCGTATCACAATCCATGCAAATGGAGACAACAGATAATCACACATTCTAATATCCAACACAAACTCCAACACAAAACATGAGAAATAAATAGCTCTTTGGGAGAAAGTGCAACGGCAGAATCTGTGGGAAGTATGAGAAGAAATCAAACACGCAATAACCTAAGCGAGTCTGGTTCATATCAATCACAACGAATATTTTTGTTACTCAAACAATCACCATCAGTTACATTAAGAGCACTTCTCTTATTGGGAAGCAATTGTCAGTCTAAGAAGCAATCATGTATGGAGAATATAGGGGTAATCCGATGTCTTGGAGGTCAACGTATCCGCTTAATTGTCGTACCAAAACTGTGCCTGGAGGTAGTCAACAACCTTCTTGTCCACTTGGAAGGCCTTGGTGAGAACATTGGCCGATATGAGCGGCTTCGATCCGAACACCGCATTAGCGACGGTAATGACTCCTGGGTTCTGGCTGCTCAGAGCAGCAAAGGCCAGTGCGGGGGTCTTTCCTACGTTCAGCTGGAAGTGGATGAGACCGATTGGGAATGCAAACACATCCCCTTTGTACAAGACTTTGGTGAAGAGGGTGTTGTTTAATTGGTTGGACGTGACGAAGCCGACGAGCAGCGTGCCCTCAGTGACGACCAGAACCTCGGACCCACGAGGGTGAGTGTGGGGAGGATTCAGGCCACCCGGAGCGAAGTCGATACGAGCCATGGAAATGCCGAGGGTGTTGAGTCCAGGAAATTGGTCCACAAAAGCGGGCGTGACTTTCGATCCGAGCGAATTCGCAGTATTCCCCGGGTATCTGAACCCCTTAAAGAGGAAATCATCTGCCGTGACTTGTTTTGGGTCCTTGCAAAACTTTCCATTCACAAATACTGCATAAGAAAGGGAATTCGTGTTATGAGGCTTATCCAAGGAGAAACTCTTTTTGGACCATTTCCTTTAGGATCATTAGAACAGAAATATACGAGTGACGCCTCTATGGCAGAGGTCCTACCTTTGGGGTCATTGATGGCCACACAGAAGTCCTGAAGAGGACTGGGGTCGTAGGCGAAAGCGGTGGCTGTTGCCAGAGCCAAGATGAGAAGGCAAGTTGGAAGAAACTTCATTGGGGTTGTGCGCCGGAGAGTTGGGGCTTGGATATTCTTCTCTTCTTTTGTTTGCTTGAGATAAGAGCGGGATGTCTTGCATGGAGAAGTGATCCCTTTTTATAGAAGATGGTGGTGTTGACCCTGTATTAAATTTTCTATGATAAGCAACACGGCCAGGCCTATACCAAGTCTCCTATGTGCTTGTTAATATCTTATTCCCAGAGATGAATTGTTCCAAAACTCAAAAGGCCTCTTACTTTGGCCCATCCGCTTTCCCACATAAGAAAACGCTTGTTATCCAATATAGAAATGGACTTCTTCAATCATCTTTAAACCTTCGGTTTCCTTCTTTACTGTTTTAATGTCCTGTGCTGATTCTGGCTCGGTTGGACAGAGCGAGGGCCAATTCTTCTCTAAGGGCATCGTTTGATCAAATCAATATGTCCATTAAAAATGGCGTACGAACCAATGTGTTCACATGCATCTCCATCCTCCACCTGGAAAACACTAAATCACTTCCTATAGATATTATGTTTACTTTCTTATACAAACATGCAGGGTGTTCGCATTAAAGGAATATCCATAAATCATCTGTTCCCTCAGTTTTCTAGGTCTGATTACCCGTTTTCTAAAAATTCGAACATAGCATCTAAATTTGAAATAGCCCTATGCATTTATTTATTTATTTATTTTTTGGTAAAGGCCTATGCATTTATTATAGACTAGAAAATCCGAGAATATAAAAAGATGAAAAGCAAAGTGGGAATCCTTCTCGTCGAAGATGGAATGACTAGTTCTCAATGAGAACGCGTTTAGTTTTACAATGATTCCCCAGCAACAAGGAAGAATAAACAATTGTCGTGGACTTGGCAGCGTTCCTGGCTTCGGCTGCTTCCTGCAGGCCAATTGACTGGGACTGAGTCAAATGAATGACTCCTATATGTAGATTTGCTACTCATGGAGCATTTCACAACAATTCTGAACGAAGCAGAATTACCGATACAGACTAAACCAAGCTCAGAAATTTTTCCATGATGAAGTTCTTTCAAATATTTGTCTTCTTGGCTATGGCATCCTCCTGTGCCTTTGCCTCTGACCCAAGTCCTCTTCAGGACTTCTGTGTCGCCGCGGATAACCCCAACTCTGCGGTGTTTGTGAATGGGATGTTCTGCAAGGACCCGAAGCTCGCCACAGCAGATGATTTCTCGTTCACAAAGTTCAGATATCCCGGGAACACATCGAATCCGCTCGGATCCAAAGTGACGACTGCTTTCGTCGACCAATTCCCGGGACTCAACACTCTCGGCATCGCCATGGCCCGCCTCGACTTTGCTCCGTATGGTCTAAACCCCCCACACATCCATCCTCGTGGAACGGAGATGCTTGCGGTCGTGGAGGGCACGCTTCTTGTCGGTTTCGTCACATCCAACCAATTGAACAACACTCTATTTTCCAAAGTCCTGACCAAAGGAGATGTTTTCGTGTTTCCGCAAGGCCTCATTCACTTCCAGCTGAACATCGGACAAACCAATGCACTGGCGTTTGCTTTCTTGAGCAGCCAGAACCCGGGACTCATAACAATCGCGAATTCAGTCTTTGGGTCGAAGCCGCCCATCAATGTCGACGTCCTCACAAAGGCCTTCCAAGTGGACAGCAAACTGATCAACTATCTCCAGGCGCAGAACTGGTTTGACAACCATTAGACAGATGTTCACAAGAACAATTGTGTTTGTTCATTACGTCACAGAGAAAAATTCTTTTGAATAACATACTGACTTTTGGATACTAGTACAATAGCTTGTCATCTCTCTCTCTCTCTCTCTCTCTCTCTCTCTCTCGCTGAATGTGTGCGTGGCTCTACATTGTTTATGGAGATGAAACTGTATGCCACATAGTGAATCTTGCATTAAATATGAGCAGTGAACTTGCATTTTGCATCTCATCGGCAAAAGGACATAAGTAGTAATTTTTTTTCTTAAAATTTCCGACTTATTTCTCTGTAATTCTGGAAGGAAACAAATTTCATATATTCGGAGGGCTAATTTTGGATTAGTTTGGATCTTTACTTTGATGCAATTTTTAGTCAAGCGAAATTTAATTGATAACATTCAGGAAAAATCAATATGGGCACCTGGAACGGAGATCAATTTAAACGTGCAAGGATTTTCAAAATATGGCGTGACTCAATTACAATTACGTACGCATTTCAAGCAGGTGCCTTTCATCACTGGAGTGCATTCGGGGAAAAAAACAACATGAGAGCAACTGCTCATGCGCGTAGAAGAAGGAATTTTTTGAAGCACTGCGACAATAATTTTTTGATCGTTGGACCAAAGAAGAAAAGCCAGGTGATGGACCACATGATTAGGCTTATGGATCTCATCTCGACAACCATGTCACTAACAAATTCCCCATTTTTCCAATTTCACTTTTTTCTATTTCGCGACGTGGCTTTCATAACTAATTAATGGGCCGCCCATTGGACTGAAAATTGACGCGCTCTTCGTTTTACCCTGCTTTGTCGACATTTTTACCAATTAGCAATTTTGTGATTAATTAAACTAAATTAAATCAATAATCAATATCATTTCGTTCGGAGTCTAAACATACAACTCATAGACCCTCGTTTTCCTTCATAAAATTTAACAGCAAATACTACGAAAATACAAAGAGAAATTCGTCATCTTCGTCTTTGTTTATTCTTTTTTCTTGACATTACGTTCAATGGGGCATGATGTGCATCTGTCACCTTTATGGCCGTTCAAGGAATTGATTTCCTTTACTTGGTGTGCTCGCATTCAAACATATGAAGAGCTTCAAGGATTGTCGTGCATACAACAAATGAAAGTGTGAAATAATGCTTAAGAGGACATCTATTGCCATATTTGAAAAGGAAGATAACCAAATATAAACTAAAATTTCTTTGGTTGTTGTTTTTGTATACATGTCCTCCTTTTCTGTTTCTACGGTTTTTAATTTTGATTACCGACTTCGAACGTACTTGCTAAGATGGTGCATGCCATCATGTCATTTAGTAAGAAACTTTTAGTACACCGAGAGAGTATTATAGTTCCGAAAATTGCTCACACCCCGCCTATCCATAAGATTAGAATGCGTCACAGTTAGTAATGTCAAACCATCACAATCACCTCCGTGGCATAATTTCTTAATTAAACATGACTAATCTAGGCAAAATGGAAACGGAGATTACACATTAATTGCTAACAGTTGTATCACAATCCATGCAAACGGAGACAACAGATGACCACACATTCTGATATCCAACACGAACTCCAGCACAAAACATGAGCAATAAAGAGTTCTTTGGGAGAAAGTGCAACTGCAGTATCTGTTGGAAGTGAAAGAAGAAATCAAATACACATAAACCTAAGCGAGTCTGGTTCGAATCAATCATAAAGAATGATCCTGTAGTACTGAAACATTCGCCATTAACAAAGAGCACTTCTCTTATTTAGAAACAATTGTCAAACTAAGCAATCATGTGTGGACAATGTAGGGGTAATCCGATGTCTTGGAGGTCAACGTATCCGCTTAATTGTTGTACCAAAACTGCGCCTGGAGGTAGTCAACAACCTTCTTGTCCACTTGGAAGGCCTTGGTGAGAACATCGGCCGATATGGGCGGCTTCGATCCGAACACCGCATTAGCGATGGTAATGACTCCTGGGTTCTGGCTGCTCAGAGCAGCAAAGGCCAGTGCGGGGGTCTTTCCAATGTTCAGCTGGAAGTGGATGAGACCGATTGGGAACGCAAACACATCCCCTTTGTACAAGACTTTGGTGAAGAGAGTGTTGTTTAATTGGTTGGACGTGACGAAGCCGACGAGTAGCGTGCCCTCAGCGACGACCAGAATCTCGGACCCACGAGGGTGAGTGTGGGGAGGATTCAGGCCACCCGGAGCGAAGTCAATACGGGCCATGGAAATGCCGAGAGTGTTGAGTCCTGGGAATTGGTCCACAAAAGCGAGGGTGACTTTCGATCCGAGCGGGTTTGCAGTATTCCCCTGGTATCTGAACCCCTTAAAGAGGAAATCATCTGCTGTGACTTGTTTTGGATCCTTGCAAAACTTTCCATTCACAAATACTGCATAAGAAACGGAATTTGTGTGATTAGGCTTATTCAAGCAAAAACTCTTTCTGGAGCAATTCCTTTAGGATCATTAGAACGGAAATATACTAGTGACGCTACAGCAGAGGTCCTACCTTTGGGATCATTGATGGCCACACAGAAGTCCTGAAGAGGACTGGGGTCATAGGCAAAAGCGGTGGCTGTTGCCAGAGCAAGGATGAGAAGGCAAGTTGGAAGAAACTTCATTGGGGTTGTGCACCGGAGAGTTGGGGCTTCGATATCTTCTCTTCTTTTGTTTGCTTGAGATAGGAGCGGGATGTCTTGCATGGAGAAGTGATCCCTTTTTATAGAAGATGGTGATGTTGACCCAGTATTAAATTTTCTGTGATAAGCAACACGGCCAGACCTATACCAGGTCTCCTATGTGCTTGTTAATATCTTATTCCCAGAGATGAATTGTTCCAAAACTCGAAAAGCCTCTTACTTTGACCCATCCTCTTCCCCAGATAAGAAAAGGCTTGTTATCTGATATAGAAATGGACTTCTTCAATCATCTCTAAATCTTCGGTTTCCTTCTTTACTGTTTAGATGTCGTGCGCGGATTCTAGCTCAGCTAGATTGAGCGAGGGCCGATTCTTCTCTAAGTGCATCGTTTGATCAAATCAATCTGTCCATTAAAAATGATGTAGGAACCTGTGTGTTCACATGCATCTCCATCCTCCACCGGGAAACCACTTATTCACTTCCTATAGATGTTAAGTATACTTTCTTATACAAACATGCAGGATGTTCACATTAAAGGGATCATATCCACAAACCATCAGTTCCCTCAATTTGATTACCCGCGCTCTAAAAATTACAACGTGGCATCTAAAGTTGAATTAGCCGTAGGCATCCATTGTAGACTAGAAAATCTGAGAATGGGAAAAGATGAAAAGTGAAGTGGATCTCTTCTCGTCAAAGATCGAATGACTAATTCTCTATGAGAACTCGTTTATTTTTTCAAGCAAGGCAGAAACATGAGGTGGTTGAGGTTGCAGAATGATTCCCCAGCAGCACGGAAGTATAAACAATTGTCGTGGACTTGGCAGCGTTCCTGGCTTCTGCTTCTTCCTGCAGGCCAATTGACTGGGACAAAGTCAAATGACTGACGCCAATGTATAGAGTTGCTAAACATTCCGCATTTCACAACAATTCTCAACGAAGCAGAATTACCAAGACCACCAAGCTCAGAAATTTTTCCATGATGAAGTTCTTTCAAACATTTGTCCCCTTGGCTTTGGCATCATCCTGTGCCTTTGGCTCTGAGCCGAGGCCTCTTCAGGAGAAAATGTTCAGTGACAGAAAATGTAAAGGAAGAAGAAATATTGAAAATGTTCTTGTTGTATGTATTCTGTACATGTACATGCCAATATTTATAGTACAAAGAAAAGATCAAATAAAGAATAAACGAGATACATTTTCCTAATTAATCCCGATTGACTGCATCAATTAATCCTCAATCTTCATGATTAGAATCAGAATCAAGAATCAAATCGGATCTTTCTCCAACACTCCCCCTCAAGCTGGTGGCTTATATATGTCAAAGACGCCTAGCTTGCTTAGAAGATACGCATGCTGTCTCTTGCACAAAGGCTTAGTGAAGATGTCTGCAGGCTGCTCCACAGTTCTAATTCCTCGAGTTGTAATAATCCCTTCTTGAATTTTTTCTCGAGTGAAATGACAGTCAACTTCTATATGTTTTGTTCTTTCATGAAAAACTGGATTTGCTGCTAATTTGAGTGCTGCATCATTGTCACAAAATAGTTTACTTGCTCCATCAATTTGTACCCCAAGATCCGATAGCAAACCTCGTATCCAAATAATCTCGCAAATAGTTTTTGCCATAGCTCGATATTCTGATTCAGCTGATGATAAAGAAACAGTTGATTGTTTCTTTGTCTTCCACGAGATTAAAGATCTTCCCAGTTTGATGCAAAAACCTGTGATAGATCTTCTGGTCGTTGGGCAAGTCGCATAATCTGTATCACAATAAGTTGTCATTTCCATGTTGCAATCACGAGATAACAAGATTCCAAGTCCTGGACATCCTTTCAAATATTTCACGACTTTTAGTGCTGCATTCATGTGTGATTGTTTTGGGTTATGCCTAAATTGGTTGAGTAACTGCACTGCATAACATATGTCGGGCCGAGTTATGGTGAGATAAATCAATTTCCCCACAAGTCACTGATATCCTGATGGATCTCCAAGTAATGGATCTTCATTGGGTGACGTTGAGCTCTTATCATATTCAAGTGTTGTGAGCTTGACATTTTGTTCAATGGGAATAATAGCTGGCTTACATCCCGATAATCCTGCTTCAGATATGATCTCCAAGACAAGCTTCCGCTGACTAAGACATATTCCCTTGTCGGATCTGGCTATCTCAATACCAAGAAAATATTTGGGAGATCCCAAATCTTTGATATGGAAGGTAGAGCGCAAATAACCCTTAAATTTCTTAATAGCGGAATCATCATTTCCCATAATGAGTATATCATCAACGTATATCAATAAATAAATTGATGAAGTACCTTGGGTCCATGTGAACAGGGCATAGTCATGCTTGGAGTGCTTAAAACCTGCATTTGTGAGTGCAGTTGTGAATTTGGCGTACCACTGTCGAGAAGCCTGTTTGAGACCATACAGGGATTTACGGAGACGACAAACCCGAGACTCCCCCTGTCTGCGTAAACCCTGTGGGAGTTCCATGTATATTTCTTCGTCCAGATCGCCATGAAGAAAAGCATTATGGACATCCATCTGATGTAATTCCCAATTACGAAACGTAGCAACTGATAGAAAAGAGCGGACAGTGACCTCTTTGGCAACGAGAGAGAAGGTTTCATGATAATCAAAGCCTTCTCGTTGTGTGAATCCTTTAGCAACTAGCCGAGCCTTGTAACGTTCAATGGAACCATCTGCCTTGTATTTGATTTTACATACCCATTTGCAGCCAATGGGTTTTCTGTTTGGAGGCAGAGGAACTATATCCCAAGTATGATTATCCATAAGGGCACCCAATTCGGCTTCCATAGCTGTCACGCCCCGTACCCCACGAAGCGCGAACATCCCATCTCCGGTCCTTTGTGATGCAACGCTCCCAGGATGCGTCGCCGACCCAACGCCCAATCAGAGATAAGTCACATGCGGAAATAACGTATATAAATATACATATACACCCGTACAAAAACAACACACGTGAGACCAAGGTAGAACAGCCATCAAACAAGAATATACACTTGTACTGTTATAGTAAAAGCCTTTTTACACTATCCATTTGTACAACTCCAAAAACCTCAACATCAGTATTTAACTGCCACTATATCAAAAAGGGTAGGTGGCACAGGTGGTTAGGCTAACTAGGATATGAATGCTATTCAAAAAGAGACGGTCTTCGCTTCCCATGGTACCGGCCTGCTCTAGGGCTCCCAGTCAGGGTCGAACGACTCGGTAGAATCATCTGGCAACTCCTCGGAGGCATCTTTACGACTGGGGGTCTGAAAAGTTTCGGTTTACACAACCGTGAGACGAATCTCAGTGAGTTCAACCCCTAAACCTAGGCTAGGCTAGCATGCAATCTCCCGACCGGAAATAAATATTTAATTCACAATACAACAACAATCAAATAATTCTCTGACCCTACAGGTTAGGCAGTTCAATATATAATAATCACGACACGTACGTGACACACATTATCACACGTACGCCAATCACATGCTCATGCACCGAGTCTCACACACTCGCATGCCAATCCATGCATGTTCATGCATGCAAATATCGTCGACATGTCACGTATATTTCCCGGCCCACTGGCCCACACTGGCACACTGGCAATTGTCCAATTTATTATTTATTACGACTCGAGTCAACAACATTCACGGCCCGGTGCGTCTAGCCTGCTTCAAAGTGCATGAGGCGCAGCAACCGATCTGGCCCAGTGTCTCTAGCCTGCTTCAAAGTGCATGAGGCGCAACACCGATCTCCTTACGAACCAGAGCCTGCTTCAAAGTGCATGAGGATGGTCGTCTTCCGGACGTACTGGGCATCGCCCTACTTCAAAGTGCATGAGGACGGTATCGACCCGAAGGTCATGACCCAAAGGTCCTTAGGTGATCACACAACAAATTATTATCTGAACCCAGCGTAAAACGCTTCAGGGTATTTTAGGTGATCACATGCTCATGGCAAGCACGCATTCTCGCACAATTTCATCACATGCCTCACTCTTGGCATACACAATGCGTGTCCATGTTATGCAATGCAATGCAATGCACCATGAGCGCCAATATAATTCAAACACTCAATATCACAACACGTGCTCAATTGACCCAATTAATACCGTGTGGCCTAACGTGCGAATCACAAATCAACAATTAATTTCAAACCAATCATTGGCCAATCGCACTCCACATAATTCAACCACACGACATGTGACATGGCAGTACGAAGTCAATCACAATTAAGCACAAATTACGTACAATCAGTCAACCCAGACATACCCGGTAAATTTCTAATGGGCTCCTAAATTGATCATTTAATCCAATTAATCTCCCCAAATAATTCTCATTAATCCACTAAATTTTCCCAATAATAATTTCTACCAATCAGTCCTCATCCCAGTCTGAAATATACACTGATATTACCTAAGCCAGTCCAAAAATGCACCGATAATACCTAAACCAGTCCAGAAAAATGCACTATCAGTCCTAATCCGGGTTTAGGAATTTTACTCACCTAATCCAAGGTCACGACGACGGGGAACGGCGGCCGATCACTGGTGAACAGTGAAACCGGCGGCGAAATTCCCGGCGACGGCGTACGGACGGCGTGAACAGTGACCGTACGGACGGCGACCGTACGGCGCTATAGTACCGTCCGTACGGGGACACTGTACGGACAGCATCGTACAGCGTGGCTGGACGGCTGGGTGGCGACGGAACAGCGATCGGAGCTCCAGCGAAGCTCCGGCGAGGCTCCGACGCGGCGGCGGTGCTAACCCGGGAGAGAAAAAGAGAGAAAAAGAGAGGGAAAGAGAGAGAGAAATGGGTCGGATAGGGACAAGGCCGAGGCTGGGGGCTGTGGTGGTCGACGGCGGGGCACGGCGGCCGGCGGCGGCGCTCCGGCGGCCGGCGGCGAGCTCCGGCGAGGCAAACCGAGAGAGAGAAAATGAGAGAAAGAGAGGATGATCTGCTGGTGGGGGTGGTCTGGCCGAGAGGGAGGGTGAGGAGAGAGAGAAAGCAGTCCAAGTTGATCAAATATATCAGCCCACAAGTGCCACGTGTCGCCGATCCGCGAAAAATGACCAAAACGCCCCTAATCTAACGGTTCTAAAGAGATAGGCTTAAATAATTGAGGGGCAATTAGGTCTTTGGTGCCAATAATGCAGCTGATAACCTCTGGTAATTATCCCAAAAATATCCCAAAAATTCGGACCTGAAAATAGCCCAAGGGCAAAATCGTCATTTTTCCGGTCCCGGGGCGAAATTCCAATTTTCGCACATACGCGTTCCATATGTGCGTGGTCAACATAATATGGTGTCGGATTCGCGAAATTCACTTTCTAAGCCCTCGAAAATCGACTGCGAAGTTTCGGGAATAAAATAATATTATTTTCTCAATTTTTGTCGAAATTCCAATTTTTGGCCATAATGACTCCTGGTATGCGTGGCCACCCAAAAATGGCGTTGGCCACGAAAAATAACCTCAGACGGCCTCAGAATCAACGCTGGCGTCCCGAGGGGCAAAATCGTAATTTTTCACCCCCGGACCGAAATTCCAATTTTTAACTGTACTAACTCAAAATATGCGTGGCCAGCATAATATGACGTCAGATTCCCAAAAATAATCTCTTAAGCCATCGAAAATCGACATCGAAATCCGGATCCAATTTCGTGATCAAAACTCGCTCGATTTCCAATTTCAGGGTCCCTCACTAACGGGCGGCTGTCTAGAGGTTACGCGTATCGACCTAGGGTTATCCGAGTCATGACGGTCCTAATCATTGAGAGAATGAGAAATTATCACTAGTCCTAGAGGTCACGATCGTCCGGTTTAAGTTCAGGACTGGTTGGCCACGTGCACTCTCGGTCATGCAGAATCACCTGCGAATCCGATTGTACATCGTTGGCCTTGGCCAAACCAAATCCGTTACCTTTCCTAAGATCGATCCACATTGGTTCATAATATTCTCTCATTATTTCTCGTGATCGGTGTCCGCTTCGCGATCGAATCCTTGGTCCACGTACCGCTTTCTAATTAGCCATACCCTATTGGTTAGTATCCCGAGAGTGATCAGCTCTGGGTGAGACTTACTAAAATGAAATGCGAAATATTGATAATTTTATTGATCCCGGAATTACATCGAAATTCGGGCTGTTACAATAGCTTGTTGCCATCGCAGGTCACATGCTGCTTCTTCATAAGATGAAGGTTCCTGTTCCTCAGATATGCGACTAATGCAGCACATGTGTTCTGCTGACAGTCGATTAAAAGAGACATATGAAGATACAGGATATTGGGTACTTGGAGAATTCAGTGTGGGGCATATGTAGTCCTTTGTCCATGTAGGGGGACGAATTTGACGTCCGGATCGCCGAGGTGGTTCAGCAATTGGTTGTTCCAATAATGAAGGAGATGACTGACCAATATGCTACTGTGGAGATGGAATCGGTAAATCTTCCTCCTCGGTGGATGGCATAAGTGACTCCATCGCCTGGTTTGAGTATTCAGGAGCTTCTGGTGTTTGATCAGGAGAGACGAAAACATATGGTGAAGTCATAGATAAATCTTCTTCGGATAAGAATTGATGATGTTTTGACTCCAATACAGTTGTTTGGAAAGAATATGTCGATTCCTGAAATGAGAATATATCTTCATGGAAAACAACATCTCTACTAACAAAGAACCTGCCTGTAGATATTTCCATAACCCTGTAACCTTTCTGGAGGAGAGGATATCCCATGAACACACATCGAATGGCACGAGGGTCCATTTTGTTTCGAGGACCCACATTTGTTGCATAACATAAGCAGCCAAAAACTCTCAGGTGTCCTATTTCCGGTTGTTTGTTGAAAAGCATTTCAAAAGGAGATCGTCCCTCAAGAATTCTAGTTGGCATGCGATTAATCAAATAAGCCGCCGTGACCACACAATCACCCCAAAAAATTTCAGGAATAGATGCTTGATACTTTAGAGCTCGAGCTACTTCTAAGAGATGACGATGTTTGCGCTCTACAACCCCATTTTGTTGAGGAGTGTAGGTGCAAGAGGTTTCATGAAGTATCCCATGAGAAGCAAGGAAAGAATTGCACTCTGTAGTGAAAAACTTGCGTCCATTGTCTGTTCGAATTTTATGGACAGACTTGTCGAATTGATTTTTAATTAAGGAAAAGAAATTCGACAATTTAGAGAATGTTTGACTCTTGGATTGCATGAGGAAAACCCAAGTGGCACGAGTGTGATCATCTACAATTGTTAAGAAAAAGCGAGACCCATCATGATTTGAAGTATGATAGGGACCCCAAATGTCTACATGAAGCAGGGAGAATGCATCAGTAGCTCGAGATGTGCTTATCGGAAATGGTGCTCATGATTGTTTTGCCAAAGGACAAATTTGACAATTTGAATGAGGAAAACGAGCACTATGACCTAAACGTTGATGAAAAAGAGAATTTTTATTGCTGGTGGTAGCATTACATGAAATGCTTTTATTGAATAATGAAATATCAAAGCCCTTTGGAAAGCTGATCCAAAAATACAATCCTTGTGCAACACTACCCAAGCCCATCATGTTGCTAGTCGAATGGTCCTGAAAGAAATAGTTTTCGGAATTGAATATGACATGACAAGAGTTGTCTTCACAAATCTTGGAAACTGATATAAGGTTGAATTCAAATTCAGGAATGTAGAGGACATTTTTAAGGGTAATGTTTGGACTAAGATGAACTATTCCAATTTTGGTGACATGAGTGACAGTACCATTTGGAAGACGAACAGATGCATCAGGATTTGTTTTGTGGTGATCAGAAAACATTTGCTCATTACAGATTATGTGGTCACTAGCGCCAGAGTCGATTATCCATGCATCAACTGAAATGCTATCATTCTTGGGAAAAGAAGTACCTGAAAAACTTGCTGCCTTGTCTGTAATCTTTAATTGATTCAATGCCCTCATGATATGCTGGTATTGATCATTAGTAATGGTCTGATTTGCCCTATCAGTCCCTTATGTCAAAACCTGATAAGCAGAAAAATCTTTCTCCTTTTTCTCTTTATCATTCGGTTTTCCATGTAACTTCCAGCAGGTATCAACAGTGTGATGTGGACGTTTGCAATAATCACAATATTTACCTTTGTTTTTAAAATTTTGTCCATTTCCTCTAGTTGACGTGGCGCTTCGTGGACCATATGATTTGAAATTCGGAGCTGTTGTGGCTTGATGGAGGCCACCCGATTCACCCGCATGGATGGTTGAATGAGAGCCGTCTGATCCCTTCTTGTAATCTGGACCGTCCATCTTTGAAACCCTATTATTTGGGTCTTCTTCATCCCAGCGATTAGAATTTCTGCTATGTGTCCCGAAGGAGGTCTGAGCTCGTGGCGGCAGCGGCGATCCCAGGGCGTTCGACGGTCGCTGTGATGTCCTCGCCAGAGCAGTGAGCGTCACGCTCTCTCCTATCTTCACGTACTCCGTCGTGGCCAGCCGCTGGTTCTCTTCTTGCACCGCTAGCTGATAGATCCGGCCAAGCGGAGGTACGGGATCCATGGCAAGGATTTGGGAACGAAATGGTGAGTAACTTTCATTTAGAATCAACAAAAAACGGGTTACCTTCTCTCTTTCTTGAATCTTTCTGTACTGTTCTAGTGTCGATTCGGGTCCTTGAAGTTCCTCCTCAGCCGCCTCGAGCTCGTTCCACAGAGCCGAGAGTCGATTGAAGCAAGCGGTAACCGAGAGGTTCCCTTGCTTCAACTCTGATATGGCCTGCGTGAGCGAGAAATGCTTCGCCCGATCCATTTTTCCATACATTTCCCGAATGCTATTCCACATTTTCTTTGAGTCTTCGGTCGGTGGGAGGCCGGCGGCGACGTCGGGGGCTATGCAGTTCCCAATCCAAGTGCGAACAAGTTGGTTGCATTTGCGCCAATATCGCTGTATCCGATCGTCGGTCGGGAAAGGCACGGTTCCGTCGATGAATCCGTCCTTGTCCTTGGTCACAAGGGCTCGCCGGAGATCCCGAGCCCATGTATTATAGTTATCGGGACCGGTGAGTTGCAAGTTAATAAGCCGGAGCTCTGGTCCGTCGGCCGGCGATGTGTAGAGTGCGTCGCCGGGTTCTGGACGGCCGTTGGCGCCCGGAATGGCGTACGGGTAGAAACCGGGTTGTAGTCCTGGGTAGGGATTCATCCCTTGACCCGGTAAAGTCTGATCGGATCCAGTTGGCTGGGCTTCTTGGGTGACTCCAAGTCCAGTATTCGCATTTCCTACGAATGAGCTGTGTTGGCCCCATTGACCTTGCACTGGTATCCATTGTATTGGCGGCCACTGGACATGACTGGAAGGCTCGATTGAAGTTGGTGCTGGAGTCGAGGGATGTTGTATCGGGTCATCTTGGTCTGATTTTTTATTCTGAGGTGAATTGTTGGACGATTCCTCCATCACAGGTAGGGCCGTTTGTTGGTTTTCAGTGGTAGGTGGTTTTTTTATTCTGACTTTTTGGCATGTATGCAGGTGTTTGAATTCCTACCCGAAGTGCTAACTCGTTTTGCCGGGTGAGATTTGCAACAATGAAATTAGAGAGCTAACGGGGGCAATTCGAAAGAATTTGTGGAAGCTAGGTCAGAACCGAAGGCTCTGATACCATGATAGAAAATGTAAAGGAAGAAGAAATATTGAAAATGTTCTAGTTGTATGTATTCTGTACATGTACATGCCAATATTTATAGTACAAAGAACAGATCAAATAAAGAATAAACGAGATACATTTTCCTAATTAATCCCGATTGACTGCATCAATTAATCCTCAATCTTCGTGATTAGAATCAGAATCAAGAATCAAATCGGATCTTTCTCCAACATTCAATAGTACCCAAAGCGCCATGTCAGCTGCTGATGTGCTGCGCATTTGTCTAGTCAGATCCATTCAGAGGCTGACACGTGGCAAACTTATTATATTTGAATAAACATGTCTGAGAATTGGACTGGTGCCCATAAATGCTTTTGGCAGCGTTTTGCAGCAAAAAATTTGAACGCCCGCCCAGAAAAGAAGAGAGAGAGTTTCTCCTTCGTCCTTCGAATGCTTAGGATAGCTCAAACATCTCTGTTTTCGCTTAGAATCGAACTCCTTCATCTTCGCTCGACCGCAGCCTCGAATACCTCCATTTTCGCGAGTGGCGAAGATCTCCACTTTCGCAAAGACAGCCGCTCGATAGTCACTTCCAAGACCTCCATTTTCTCGAGGAAGGTCGCTTCAAAGACCTCCACTTTCATTAAGACTGCCGCTTTTGCTTAGAAGACCTCCTTGAAGCGGCGGGAGATGGAATTCCCAATCCTGGACTCTAATTTCCAGAGGTTTTTTGTGCTCTTCGCGGCATTTTCCCAGGTTCGTCGACCCCTCTCTGTTATTAGCCGTTTGGCCGCAGAGGAAAGAAAGAAAGTACTCCACTAATAGCTATTCTTTGTAAATGATATATCATTAACATTGATCAAAGGGAAAACAGAGTTTTTGCTTGTCTTAGCAGCCAAGAATAGCTATTCTTTGTAATAGAGTGCTGCATTTCCATGTAGCTGTTTGTTGATGAAATTTCTGTCCTTTAAATTTTGGGTTATTTCTTTTTGCAGATGCAACCAAGAGTTCTTCAAGAAGTTATGATGAAAGATTAATAATGATCGACTCAATTTCATCCCCGATCACGCTAATTCTTGGCAGCAGTGGTTCAAAGGGTACACACTCTTGAATGTATGCGCAGTTTCCATGTCTTCTAAAGCACTGGACTGATATGATTTACGTGTATTATGCCTCGACTTGCAATTTGCATTTATCATCTTTTTCTCCACAAAATGCGGACATTGCCGAGCTTGGAGAGGCATCGAACGAAAATGAACAAAGTGGAACTTGAGTGGAGCAACATAAGTTTGACCGCTGTAATTCTTCAATCTTTAACTAAATTATTATTTGAATGACAGTATCTAGATGTCCAGATGAAACTCGCATTCTTTAAGGGAAACATCTTGTTCAAAGGTTCATATGAGAAATTTATATCTATGCATTGTAGCTGCTTCTACATGAAAAATCGAAGGAGAAAGTTTTATTGTAGCTTACATAAAAACTTCTGAACAATCCCAACTTCTGTTTGTTCGCTCACCGGATGAGCACAATGTCAAATTGGGAGTGCAAAGGTGGATGTCAGAATAGTTAGCCACCAGAGTATGCACCATATTCATCTCCCTTTCTAGCTATAGACTCGAAACTTCTCTATGATCCATTTTCAAGGTAATATATTCTATATAAGGTAAGCAACAGTCTCTCCGAAAATAGAAGTTGAGAAATATATAGAAGATGTCAAGCAATAAACAAAGAAGTCTTCCCCAAACAAAAAAACAGATCCTTGAAAATCTGATGCATCGATTGCTTCCACATTCAACTTGTTTGCTGAAGGAAGATTAAAAAAGCAAACTTTTTTTGGGGTTCCTGCACAAAAGAGTATTAGAATTACCTTATGTCTTTCTCATGCTCAAATGCATTTTTAGAATGGAATGCTGCATATCAGTAAGCCAAAAGGATTAATGGAATAATTTTATCACATTAAATAAGCATCGTGAGGTGGGATTGGTAGAGAGTGTTATTCGCAATTACATACAAATGTGCATCTTTGCAATACTCCTTTACTTTTGTTTGCTTTATGTCCTTTTTCGCACTTCAAATCCCTTGCAAATTGCACATGCATTATATGTATTGTAAGTTTCATCTTCATTAGCAAACATCATGCCAATTCTAAATTCAAATTCTTCATCAATATTATGCACGATGATATTATCTTTTGAAAACTCGAAAATTTTACGAAAAGAATCTAATCATTAATATAGAGCAGATACAAATTTAATTCTAAAAAGATAGTCATGGCCATTTCTCCTGAGAACAAGGCATTGCTGGAAGTGAATCTCAGACACGAGTTTTGCAGTCCGCTCATATTGGTTTCTCACGGTGACACGGAGAGGCGTTCAATCGTTGTTTGGCCTGGAGGATTGCATTCCGACCAAAGCATCTAACACAATCCCACGACTTTTTAGCAAATCGTGAACCATTCATCTCCATATTACTGCCCACAGTGTTATCATTAACTAAGCAGGACTCAAATTGACTCAGCAAGCACGAAACGAAAGAAAAAATTGAAAGTTTAGAACAGCTCTGCAAGCACCGCACTCATAAACAGAGTAATCAGCGAGCTCCGGCAACAGATTCGCGCACTTGGGACACCGAACCGCCGAACTTTCTCCGCGTTCTCCATTCGAAGACAAACCTCTGAGAACCAGAGCGACAAGTCCAAGCAGAATATAAAAAGCTTCTTTTATTATATGGGAGAAAATCAGGGGGACAAAAGGTCATTGAGCTGGATTCCTGAGGCCACTGGGTGGTCTCTAATGCGAGCCTTTTATATGGGACAAAAATACAAAGCTTCCCCTCTAGATTTTCACCTTAAATCCTTCCGGCAGTCTTCAGAGCGGCGGTCGAGCAGCGGTCTTCATGAAAGTTTTCGTGTTTCCGCAAGGCCTCATCCACTTCCAACTGAACATTGGGCAAACTAATCCCCTGGCCTTTGCTTTCCTGAGCAGCCAGAACCCGGGACTCATAACAATCGCGAATTCAGTCTTTGGGTCGAAGCCGCCGATCAATGTCGACGTCCTCACAAAGGCCTTCCAAGTGGACAGCAAACTGATCAACTATCTCCAGGCACAGAACTGGTTTGACAACCATCAGGAATAATGTGTTGGTTCATTACATCACAAGGAAAAATTCTTTCGAATAACATACTGACTTTTGGATACTAGTACAATTGCTTGTCACCTCTCTCTCTCTCTCTCTGCTCTACATTATTTATTGAGATGAAACTGTATACCATATAGTGAATCTTACATTAACTATGAGCAGGGAATTTGCATTTTGCATCTCATCCGCAAAACGACATTAGTAGTATTTCTTTTCACTTGAAAATTAATGCGCTCTCCGTTTTACCCTTCTTTATTGACAATATTACTAATTAGTAATTCCGTGATTAATTAAACTTAATTAAATCAGTAATTAATATCATTTTGGTTCCGAGTCTAAACATCCAATTCGTAGGCCCTCATTTTCCTTTACAAGAAGTTAACAGCAAATAGTAGGAAAAGAGAGAGAAATTCGTCGTCTTCGTCATCATTTACCCTTCTTTGTCGACAATATGTTCAATGGGGATGATGTGCATCTATCACCCCTATGGCCATTCAAGGAATTGATTTCCTTTATTTGGTGTCCTCTCATTCAGAACATATGATGAGCTTCAAGGATTGTTGTCCATGCATCAAATAAAAGCGTGAGATAATGCTTAAGAGGGCATATGTTGCCATATCGGAAAGGAAAGATACCGAAATATAAACTAAAATTTCTTTGGTTGTTGTTTTTGTTTACGGTTTTCTTTCCTTTTTCTACTGTCTTTAATTTTGATTAGTGACTCTAGACGTCCTTGATGGCCTGTCGCATGCCACCATGTCATTTAGTAAGAAACTTTTAGTACATGGAGAGAGTATTATAGTTCCGAAAATTGCTCACCCCCCCCCTCCGCCCCCCCTATCCATAAGATTTGAATGTGTTACGGTTATTAATGTAAAACCATCGGAATCACCTCAGTGGCATAATAGTGACAAATCTAGACAAAAATGGAAAGAGATTGCACGTTAATTGCTCGCAGCCGTATCACAATCCATGCAAATGGAGACAACAGATAATCACACATTCCTATATCCAGCACAAACTCCAACACAAAACATGAGAAATAAATAGCTCTTTGGGAGAAAGTGCAACGGCAGAATCTGTGGGAAGTATGAGAAGAAATCAAACACGCAATAAACTAAGCGAGTCTGGTTCATATCAATCACAAAGAATATTTTTGTTACTCAAACAATCACCATCAGTTACATAAAGAGCACTTCTCTTATTGGGAAGCAATTGTCAATCTGAGAAGCAATCATGTATGGAGAATATAGGGGTAATCCGATGTCTTGGAGGTCAACGTATCCGCTTAATTGTCGTACCAAAATTGTGCCTGGAGGTAGTCAACAACCTTCTTGTCCACTTGGAAGGCCTTGGTGAGAACATCGGCCAATATGAGCGGCTTTGATCCGAACACCGCATTAGCGACGGTAATGACTCCGGGGTTCTGGCTGCTCAGAGCAGCAAATGCCAGTGCGGGGGTCTTTCCAATGTTTAGCTGGAAGTGGATGAGACCGATTGGGAACGCAAACACATCCCCTTTGTACAAGACTTTGGTGAAGAGGGTGTTGTTTAATTGGTTGGACATGACGAAGCCGACAAGCAGCGTGCCCTCAGCGACGACCAGAATCTCGGAGCCACGAGGGTGAGTGTGGGGAGGATTCAGGCCACCCGGAGCGAAGTCGATACGAGCCATGGAAATGCCGAGGGTATTGAGTCCAGGAAATTGGTCCACAAAAGCGGGCGTGACTTTCGATCCGAGCGAATTCGCAGCATTCCCCGGGTATCTGAACCCCTTAAAGAGGAAATCATCTGCCGTGACTTGTTTTGGGTCCTTGCAAAACTTTCCATTCACAAATACTGCATAAGAAAGGGAATTCGTGTTATTAGGCTTATCCAAGGAGAAACTCTGTTTGGAGCAATTCCTTTACGATCATTAGAACAGAAATATACGAGTGACGCCTCTATGGCAGAGATCCTACCTTTGGGGTCATTGACGGCCACACAGAAGTCCTGAAGAGGACTGGGGTCGTAGGCGAAAGCGGTGGCTGTTGCCAGAGCCAAGATGAGAAGGCTAGTTGGAAGAAACTTCATTGGGGTTGTGTGCCGGAGAGTTGGGGCTTGGATATCTTCTCCTTTTGTTTGCTTGAGATAGGAGCGGGATGTCTTGCATGGAGAAGTGATCCCTTTTTATAGAAGATGGTGGTGTTGACCCAGTATTAAATTTTCCATGATACGCAACACGGCCAGGCCTATACCAAGTCTCCTATGTGCTTGTTAATATCTTATTCCCAGAGATGAATTGTTCCAAAACTCAAAAGGCCTCTTACTTTGGCCCATCCGCTTTCCCACATAAGAAAACGCTTGTTATCCAATATAGAAATTGACTTCTTCAATCATCTTTAAACCTTGGGTTTCCTTCTTTACTGTTTTAATGTCCTGTGCTGATTCTGGCTCGGTTGGACAGAGCGAGGGCCAATTCTTCTCTAAGGGCATCGTTTGATCAAATCAATATGTCCATTAAAAATGGCGTAGGAACCAATGTGTTCACATGCATCTCCATCCTCCACCTGGAAAACACTAAATCACTTCCTATAGATATTATGTTTACTTTCTTATACAAACATGCAGGGTGTTCACATTAAAGGAATATCCATAAATCATCTGTTCCCTCAGTTTTCTAGGTCTGATTACCCGTTTTCTAAAAATTCGAACATAGCATCTAAATTTGAAATAGCCCTATGCATTTATTATAGACTAGAAAATCCGAGAATATAAAAAGATGAAAAGCAAAGTGGGAATCCTTCTCGTCGAAGATGGAATGACTAGTTCTCAATGAGAACGCGTTTAGTTTTACAATGATTCCCCAGCAACAAGGAAGAATAAACAATTGTCGTGGACTTGGCAGAGTTCCTGGCTTCGGCTGCTTCCTGCAGGCCAGTTGACTGGGACTGAGTCAAATGAATGACTCCTATATGTAGATTTGCTACGCATGTAGCATTTCACAACAATTCTCAACGAAGCAGAATTACCGATACAGACTAAACCAAGCTCAGAAATTTTTCCATGATGAAGTTCTTTCAAATATTTGTCTTCTTGGCTATGGCATCCTCCTGTGCCTTTGCCTCTGACCCAAGTCCTCTTCAGGACTTCTGTGTCGCCGTGGATAACCCCAACTCTGCGGTGTTTGTGAATGGGATGTTCTGCAAGGACCCGAAGCTCGCCACAGCAGATGATTTCTCGTTCACAAAGTTCAGATATCCCAGGAACACAACGAATCCGCTCGGATCCAAAGTCACGACTGCTTTCGTCGACCAATTCCCGGGACTCAACACTCTCGGCATCGCCATGGCCCGCCTCGACTTTGCTCCATATGGTCTAAACCCCCCACACATCCATCCTCGTGGAACGGAGATGCTTGCGGTCGTGGAGGGCACGCTTCTTGTCGGTTTCGTCACATCCAACCAATTGAACAACACTCTATTTTCCAAAGTCCTGACCAAAGGAGATGTTTTCGTGTTTCCGCAAGGCCTCATTCACTTCCAGCTGAACATCGGACAAACTAATGCACTGGCCTTTGCTTTCTTGAGCAGCCAGAACCCGGGACTCATAACAATCGCGAATTCAGTCTTTGGGTCGAAGCCGCCCATCAATGTCGACGTCCTCACAAAGGCCTTCCAAGTGGACAGCAAACTGATCAACTATCTCCAGGCGCAGAACTGGTTTGACAACCATTAGACAGATGTTCACAAGAACAATTGTGTTTGTTCATTACGTCACAGAGAAAAATTCTTTTGAATAACATACTGACTTTTGGATACTAGTACAATAGCTTGTCATCTCTCTCTCTCTCTCTCTCTCTCTCTCTCTCTCTCGCTGAATGTGTGCGTGGCTCTACATTGTTTATGGAGATGAAACTGTATGCCACATAGTGAATCTTGCATTAAATATGAGCAGTGAACTTGCATTTTGCATCTCATCGGCAAAAGGACATAAGTAGTAATTTTTTTTCTTAAAATTTCCGACTTATTTCTCTGTAATTCTGGAAGGAAACAAATTTCATATATTCGGAGGGCTAATTTTGGATTAGTTTGGATCTTTACTTTGATGCAATTTTTAGTCAAGCGAAATTTAATTGATAACATTCAGGAAAAATCAATATGGGCACCTGGAACGGAGATCAATTTAAACGTGCAAGGATTTTCAAAATATGGCGTGACTCAATTACAATTACGTACGCATTTCAAGCAGGTGCCTTTCATCACTGGAGTGCATTCGGGGAAAAAAACAACATGAGAGCAACTGCTCATGCGCGTAGAAGAAGGAATTTTTTGAAGCACTGCGACAATAATTTTTTGATCGTTGGACCAAAGAAGAAAAGCCAGGTGATGGACCACATGATTAGGCTTATGGATCTCATCTCGACAACCATGTCACTAACAAATTCCCCATTTTTCCAATTTCACTTTTTTCTATTTCGCGACGTCCCTTTCATAACTAATTAATGGGCCGCCCATTGGACTGAAAATTGACGCGCTCTTCGTTTTACCCTGCTTTGTCGACATTTTTACCAATTAGCAATTTTGTGATTAATTAAACTAAATTAAATTAATAATCAATATCATTTCGTTCGGAGTCTAAACATACAACTCATAGACCCTCGTTTTCCTTCATAAAATTTAACAGCAAATACTACGAAAATACAAAGAGAAATTCGTCATCTTCGTCATTGTTTATTCTTCTTTCTTGACATTACGTTCAATAGGGCATGATGTGCATCTATCGCCTGTATGTCCATTCAAGGAATTGATTTCCTTTACTTGGTGTGCCCGCATTCAAAACATATGAAGAGCTTCATGGATTGTCGTGCATTCCCGTTCCAGTGGATTCTCTAACCGACCTAAAGAAGCCTCCGACGTGTTATCCTTCTTTTTCAAAAGCGGCATTTTGCTCGGAATGGTTTCCTAGTTGGAGTCGGCACACGTAGGCCTCTAACCGGAGGAAGGAATAGAGTCAGGCCTTTACCGATCTGTTCTATCAAATGAAAGTGTGAGATAATAAGAGTATTTGAAAGGGAAGATAACAAAATATAAACTAAAATTTCTTTAAGTTGTTGTTTTTGTTTATGTCTTCCTTTTTCTTTTTCTACGGTCTTTAATTTTGATTATCAATTCCAGACGTACTCAATGGCATGGCGCATGCCACCGTGTCATTCGGTAAGAAACTTTTAGTACACCAAGAGAGCATTACAGTTCCGAAAATTGCTCACACCCCACCTATCCATAAGATTAGAATGCATCACAGTTGCTAATATAAAACGATCATAATCACCTCCGTGGCATAATTTCTTAATTAAACATGACTAATCTAGGCAAAATGGAAACCGAGATTACACGTCAGTTGCTAACGATTGTATCACTATCCATGCAACGGAGACAAAAGATGACCACACATTCTGATATCCAACACAAACTCCAGCACAAAACGTGAGCAATAAAAAGTTCTTTGGGAGAATGTGCAACAGCAGAATCTGTTGGAAGTGAAAGAAGAAATCAAATACACATCAACCTAAGCGAGTCTAGTTCACATCAATCGTGAAGAATGATCCTATAGTACTCACACATTCACCAGTACACAAAGAGCACTTCTCTTATTTGGAAACAATTGTCAGTCTAAGCAAATCATGTATGGACAATGTAGGGGTAATCCGATGTCTTGGAGGTCAACGTATCCGCTTAATTGTCGTACCAAAACTGCGCCTGGAGGTAGTCGACAACCTTCTTGTCCACTTGGAAGGCCTTGGTGAGAACATCGGCCGATATGGGCGGCTTCGATCCGAACACCGCATTAGCGACGGTAATGACTCCGGGGTTCTGGCTGCTCAGAGCAGCAAATGCCTGTGCAGGGGTCTTTCCTACGTTCAGCTGGAAGTGGATGAGACCGATTGGGAACGCAAACACATCCCCTTTGTACAAGACTTTGGTGAAGAGGGTGTTATTTAATTGGTTGGACGTGACGAAGCCGACAAGCAGCGTGCCCTCAGCGACGACCAGAATCTCGGACCCACGAGGGTGAGTGTGGGGAGGATTCAGGCCACCCGGAGCGAAGTCGATACGAGCCATGGAAATGCCGAGAGTGTTGAGTCCAGGAAATTGGTCCACAAAAGCGGGTGTGACTTTCGATCCAAGCGAATTCGCAGTATTCCCCGGGTATCTGAACCCCTTAAAGAGGAAATCATCTGCCATGACTTGTTTTGTGTCCTTGCAAAACTTTCCATTCACAAATACTGCATAAGAAAGGGAATTCGTGTTATTAGGCTTATCCAAGGAGAAACTCTTTTTGGAGCAATTCCTTTACGATCATTAGAACAGAAATATACGAGTGACGCCTCTATGGCAGAGATCCTACCTTTGGGGTCATTGACGGCCACACAGAAGTCCTGAAGAGGACTGGGGTCGTAGGCGAAAGCGGTGGCTGTTGCCAGAGCCAAGATGAGAAGGCTAGTTGGAAGAAACTTCATTGGGGTTGTGTGCCGGAGAGTTGGGGCTTGGATATCTTCTCCTTTTGTTTGCTTGAGATAGGAGCGGGATGTCTTGCATGGAGAAGTGATCCCTTTTTATAGAAGATGGTGGTGTTGACCCAGTATTAAATTTTCCATGATACGCAACACGGCCAGGCCTATACCAAGTCTCCTATGTGCTTGTTAATATCTTATTCCCAGAGATGAATTGTTCCAAAACTCAAAAGGCCTCTTACTTTGGCCCATCCGCTTTCCCACATAAGAAAACGCTTGTTATCCAATATAGAAATTGACTTCTTCAATCATCTTTAAACCTTGGGTTTCCTTCTTTACTGTTTTAATGTCCTGTGCTGATTCTGGCTCGGCTGGACAGAGCGAGGGCCAATTCTTCTCTGAGGGCATCGTTTGATCAAATCAATATGTCCATTAAAAATGGCGTAGGAACCAATGTGTTCACATGCATCTCGGTCCTCCACCTGGAAAACACTAAATCACTTCCTATAGATATTATGTTTACTTTCTTATACAAACATGCGGGGTGTTCGAATTAAAGGAATATCCATAAATCATCGGCAAAAGAACACTACAAGTGCCATAACTTGTGTACGGCGCTCACTTTAGTGCCATAACTTGTGTACGGCGCTCACTTTAGTGCTAAAATTTTTGAAAAACGATCACTTAAGTGCTACAATTTTTGAAAAACGATCACTTAAGTGCCAACTCCGGTGCCGTACACAATTTTTCGCCGGAAATCTGACGTGGCATTTTTTTTATTAATTTCTGAAGCTGACATGGCTCGCCGGAGTCTCGCCGGAGATTGGCACTTAAGTGATCGTTTTTCAAAAATTTTAGCACTTAAATGATCGTTTTTCAAAATTTTTAGCACTTAAGTGATCGCTTTTCAAAAATTTTAGCACTGAAGTGATCCAAAAAAAAGTTATGACACTTAAGTGATCGTTTTTCCTCCGACTTGGCACCAAAGTGATCCGAAAAAAAGTTATGGCACCAAAGTGAGCGCCGTACACAAGTTATGGCACTTATAGTGTCCTTTTGCCATAAATCATCTGTTCCCTCAGTTTTCTAGGTCTGATTACCCGTTTTCTAAAAATTCGAACATAGCATCTAAATTTGAAATAGCCCTATGCATTTATTATAGACTAGAAAATCTGAGAATATAAAAAGATGAAAAGCAAAGTGGGAATCCTTCTCGTCGAAGACGGAATGACTAGTTCTCAATGAGAACGCGTTTAGTTTTACAATGATTCCCCAGCAACACGGAAGAATAAACAATTGTCATGGACTTGGCAGCGTTCCTGGCTTCGGCTGCTTCTTGCAGGCCAATTGACTGGGACTGAGTCAAATGAATGACTCCAATATGTAGATTTGCTACGCATGGAGCATTTCACAACAATTCTCAACGAAGCAAAATTACCGATACAGACTAAACCAAGCTCAGAAATTTTTCCATGATGAAGTTCTTTCAAATATTTGTCTTCTTGGCTATGGCATCCTCCTGTGCCTTTGCCTCTGACCCAAGTCCTCTTCAGGACTTCTGTGTCGCCGTGGATAACCCCAACTCTGCGGTGTTTGTGAATGGGATGTTCTGCAAGGACCCGAAGCTCGCCACAGCAGATGATTTCTCGTTCACAAAGTTCAGATATCCCAGGAACACAACGAATCCGCTCGGATCCAAAGTCACGACTGCTTTCGTCGACCAATTCCCGGGACTCAACACTCTCGGCATCGCCATGGCCCGCCTCGACTTTGCTCCATATGGTCTAAACCCCCCACACATCCATCCTCGTGGAACGGAGATGCTTGCGGTCGTGGAGGGCACGCTTCTTGTCGGTTTCGTCACATCCAACCAATTGAACAACACTCTATTTTCCAAAGTCCTGACCAAAGGAGATGTTTTCGTGTTTCCGCAAGGCCTCATTCACTTCCAGCTGAACATCGGACAAACTAATGCACTGGCCTTTGCTTTCTTGAGCAGCCAGAACCCGGGACTCATAACAATCGCGAATTCAGTCTTTGGGTCGAAGCCGCCCATCAATGTCGACGTCCTCACAAAGGCCTTCCATGTGGACAGCAAACTGATCAACTATCTCCAGGCACAGAACTGGTTTGACAACCATTAGACAGATGTTCACAAGAAGAATTGTGTTTGTTCATTACGTCACCGAGAAAAATTCTTTTGAAACATACTGACTTTTGGATACTAGTACAATAGCTTGTCATCTCTCTCTCTCTCTCTCGCTGAATGTGTGCGTGGCTCTACATTGTTTATGGAGATGAAACTGTATGCCATACAGTGAATCTTGCATTAAATATGAGCAGTGAACTTGCATTTTGCATCTCATCCGCAAAAGGACATTAGTAGTATTTTTTTCCTTAAAATTTCCGACTTATTTCTCTGTAATTCTGGAAAGGAAACAAATTTCATATATTCGGAGGGCTAATTTTGGATTAGTTTGGATCTTTACTTTGATGCAATTTTTGGTCAAGCGAAATTTAATTGATAACATTCAGGAAAAATCAATATGGGCACCTGGAACGGAGATCAATTTAAACGTGTACGGATTTTCAAAATATGGCGCGACTCAATTACAATTACGTACGCATTTCAAGCAGGCGCCTTTCATCACTGGAGTGCATTCGGGGAAAAAAACAACATGAGAGCAACTGCTCATGCGCGTAGAAGAAGGAATTTTTTGAAGCACTGCGACAATAATTTTTTGATCGTTGGACCAAAGAAGAAAAGCCAGGTGATGGACCACATGATTAGGCTTATGGATCTCATCTCGACAACCATGTCACTAACAAATTCCCTACTTTTCTAATTTCTTTTTGTAATTTCGCAACTTGCCTTTCATAACTAATTATTGGGCTGCCCATTGGGCTGAAAATTAATGCACTCTCCGTTTTTCCCTTCTCAGTCGACATTATTTATAATTAGTAATTTTGTGATTAATTAAATTTAATTAAATCAATAATCAATATCATTTCGTTCGGAGTCTAAACATAAAACTCGTAGACCCTCGTTTTCCTTCATAAAATTTAACAGCAAATAATACGAAAATACAAAGAGAAATTCGTCATCTTCGTCATTGTTTATTCTTCTTTCTTGACATTATGTTCAATGGGGCATGATGTGCATCTATCACCTTTATGGCCGTTCCAGGTATTGATTTCCTTTACTTGGTGTGCTCGCATTCAAACATATGAAGAGCTTCAAGGATTGTCGTGCATACAACAAATGAAAGTGTGAAATAATGCTTAAGAGGACATCTGTTGCCATATTTGAAAAGGAAGATAACCAAATATAAACTAAAATTTCTTTGGTTGTTGTTTTTATATACATGTCCTCCTTTTCTGTTTCTACGGTTTTTAATTTTGATTACCGACTTCGAACGTACTTGATAAGATGGTGCATGCCATCATGTGATATAGAACAGTTAGCGTGCGATTATCTTGAACGACGTGATTGTCAGGATCGCCGAAAATCTCGGCAATTTTTCTGATATTGGGTCTAACGACCTTGGATTGCGTTCAAAGTTGGTTGGTTGAAGCGAAATGACCGTCTGATTCGAACTCATTGCTTTGCCGTGACCTACGATGGATTTTAGCATTCCGGAGTCGTCTGGATAGGTTTTTCAGGCAGTTTTCTATGTTAGGAAATTCGTAATTGTCATTAATTTCAAATATTCTATTTGAAAGATTTGGTTTATTAGATGTTATCTTTAATTATTCGGTTTCCAATAGGAGTCCTATCTCTATATAGGATGTCCGTCTTTGTAATCGGGGGGATCACGATATCATTGAATAAAAAAAATTTCAAGTTCCTTGGAGTTGTTCCAAGTTTACGCTTTCTCTCTGCGTCATTTGGTATCAGAGCAGGATTCTCCTGTGACGATGGTCAATAACGTGAACGTTAATCTCCCCGTAGCTGAGGGCCGTGAAAGCGAGCCTATTACACGGGCTGAGTTCAACCAGTTCGTGGATCAAACCGATCGGAGGTTTCAAGAAATCCTTGATGCCATACAGCGTTTATCCACAAACCCCGCACCTGGCGTTCTTCCAGCCGAGCGAATTCCTGTCGCTCGTGATCCCGAAGTTGCTGTGGACCATGGGGTCAATCTCCGGCATAGGCGAGTAGACTATGTCGAAGACTCTGAAGACGAAGATGAAGAAGATTTCCTAGACATGCCCATTCGAAGAGAACGGCAGAATAGAGAATTCCAGAATGATCCTGTTCGCGGAGGTCGGCGCTATGGAGGACATCAACGGGATCCTGAGCAATATCAATTAAAAGTCGATCTTCCAACCTTCAACGGGAATTTGAATATCGAAGATTTCCTGGATTGGCTGTGGGAAGTCGAAAAATTCTTTGATGCCATGGAAATTGAAGAGGATCGACAAGTTAAATTAGTGGCGTACAAATTGAAGGGTGGAGCTTTGGCTTGATGGGAGCAGATGCAATTAACCCGACGTCGACAAGGAAAGACTCCCATCCAAACGTGGAATCGAATGAAATAGATGCTGAAATCACGGTTTCTCCCCACTGATTATTAGCAACTGTTGTTTCGGCAATTTCAGAATTGCAAGCAGTCGAACCGAACAGTCCAAGCTTATACAGAAGAGTTCCTCTGACTTTGCGCCCTCAATAACCTAGCTGAATCGGAAGCGCAACAAACTGCTAGGTACATAAACGGCTTGCGACTGAACATTCAAGATCGTGTTTCTTTGCATCATGTATTTTCTGTTGAAGACGCCCAAGAGATGGCGCGAAAAATTGAGATGCAATTGGAGAGGACTAGCCCTAGTATTCGTGGAAGCAATTATTCGGGTCGTGGATCATTCGAAAAGGGGAAGCAGATTGATGTCTCAGGTTCCTCAAATCAGCAAATCGGTGATACGAACCAAGCGTCGGGAAGTGTTACTGGTATGCCTAAGGAACCAGTCGCAGCAAACAACCGTACCCCGAATGTCCAGAATCCTTATGCCAAGCCGCAACCGATCAAGTGCTATAAGTGTAACGAA